GCAGAAATGGGGATTTGATTTTATGCCCTCTACCTTGGGACACAAAAGCGACCAAAATGAATCTGCTGTACCCATTGCAAGATTTAGGGTATTTCCATTTTCTCTCTACTTTTCACTACCTTTATTTTCTAGCTTCCTACCATGTTTATCTAGATCTCCTTACCTAATTTTTAAATTATCAAAGAGACACAGTACACCTGTTGTCTTTATATAATTAGAAAATTAACTAACTCAAGTTTGATAAATATGATAAACTAACTACTCATCACTCCTTGGGGAACCCGGGTGTAATTTTTGAGACATCTTTTGTTGACTGACTGACCTTTTCTGGCCTCACTGGACCTGAATAGATGCATTGAAGATAGACAAAGATATTCACTTGAAATGAACCAACAGCACGAAAGAATTTCTATAATTAGACTTATCCTGGGACTATGACCCAAATTACACCACAAAACATCTTCACAAATATGTTACCTAATTAGGCCATATCCCTCCCTCACACTCCCCCCCCCCCCNATACAGCCCCTGCCACTCTCCCCGACAGCCCTTGCCCTCCCCCCGACATCCCCTGCCCCTCCCCCTTACAGCCCCTGCCCTCCTGTGTACACACTAACAGGTACAGTATTAAAATCAACACATTGAAGACATAATCTATTTTTATTTCTTATATATATATATTTTCAAAAATAAGTTTAAACAAATTAAAATTTTAACATAAACATTGCCACATCAATGTTTCTAATGATAACAAAAAATAATATAATCTATCAAAGACGGGTTCCAACAGACTTTCAGCAACATTTAACTTTTTATCAAAGATAAAGTCCAAATTTTATGGTTATTTCTGCCATTATTAAGGAAGTTCTGAACTCCCTATTCCATCTTTGCGTATTGCAGAGTTATCTTCTCTTGTGAGCAGGTATTGCTTGTTACGTCATTGGTTTGTGTGAGAAAAATACGTCGTTTTCTCAAAAATTGATGGCGTTACCCTCACAAACAAATGATGTAACAATCAATACCTGCTCACAAGAGCAGATAACTCTGCAATACGAAATGATTACCTAATTTATTGGTTGAAAATATTAAATATAAGCGTTTGAAATCGACAGTCTCTCTCTCTTTTAAATTTGGAGAGTTTGGAAGTATGTATCAGAAAATGGTATCATTTGTGATGTACATATTGACCATACACATAGAGGCAAGGTAAAAACTGAAAACCCTTTGATTTGAAAGTAGACCAATTTTTCACCACACTAGAAACCATGTGCCTGCGGATAGCTTACAGTCCATCCAGATGGTATTTTGAAGCGAATCAAAATGCAAAGATGTTGTTTCATAATATCTGACTAATTATATGCTATGTATCCATTTTGAATGAATTACGACAAGGAAGGTCTAACAGTATATAAACATCAAAATGCGAAGAAATCTTTTTCATAATATCTTACTTTTTGTATACAATTTATCGGTTTTGAAAGAATTACGACAAGGACTGTATGTGTATCAGTAATGCTAAAAAATAAATATACTGAACATCTGTGAAAACCCATCTTTAATATTTATTAAAAAAAATCTGTTTATTATAATGAATATATAACAACCTATAAAATATCTATTTATTACAACTTGAACATGTACATGTATATATTGGCTTATAAAATAAATGGTATATCATATAAATATATCAACTAACAACATATCTATTTATCATAGAGTTAAAGCATCAATGTTGACATGGGCAACACTGCAGCACTATATATTTCATATGTTTCCTCGGCAGCTGATAAACCTGAACTACAGGAGTGTGAATAAGTAGATATTGAGAATGTACATATTTCGTGGTAACTTCATTTTAGTGCTAAAATATGATTTCGCTAATTGAAAATTCAGTATTTTGTTTTTTGACTTGCATATGTATTAACTTTATTTCTGATACAACAATTATGAAACAAAGTTATTGCAACTTATATAAATCACTCGATTTGGCCCGGATGTTAGCACGAGGGGGGGGGGGGGGGGGGGTCTTAATGTGTGAGGAAACTGGAGAAAACCCATTGCATATACCAGTAATGTTGGTGAGACAATTCATCTTTGGGCTAATCTATTAAAGTTTGATAATGCGCTAAACTTTTGGTCAACTAAAATAAGTAGATCTACAGTATTTAATATAATATGGGACAATATGTCTGCAGCAGGGCTAGATATGTTTTGGCTAGAATTTGTATTAGTCATTTAGTTGTGTGACAATATTTATCTATTACATAAGACAGACTTGCATTACCTTACAATTTCTGAAGACAACATGTACTAGAAATTTATGCACATATTCAAATTGATATCACTTCTGTCAAGCACACGAATTATACATTTGCATATATATATCATATATGTATATATAAATACAATACTGTATATATATTTGTACTGTTCCATGCAATTATCAAAATTTTCAGTTGTATGCTTCACACATTCAACCAAACAACTCAGAAATGATCATATGCCACATATTGATAGCCATTCATGAAAAATTTTGTATAGGAAATTGTGTTATTTGAATAGAAAAAATTTCAGTGCTTTTATTTAAAAAGAACGGCACTAAATTCCATGTTTTAATAATTCAAACTAAAGAAGGTTATCAAAAAAACACTCTTAGTGTTAAAAAATATTGAAATCTGTCTAATTAGATTCTTTCTTGGACACAATCTATTGTCCAGATTTGCCTTTCAGTTTCTAAACTGACATCCATGGGGCACCGTATACTTGGTCATATTAACCTGTCTAATCTGTCTTATTTGATATCATCTAATCCAATATAGTGTTGTAAACCAATTAATATTCACGGAAAGTTCCATGTAATAATTGTGTATTTTGACACCCTGTGTAATCTGACAATGTAAATTGTGTCTTACCGAGTGTCAAAATACACAATTATTACATGGAACTTCCCGTAAATATTGGGTTATAACATTATATTGGATTAGATGATATCAAATACTAATTCATTGATCAATACATGTCTAACCATATAATTATGATATTGCATAGCATAAAACCTCCAGAAACTGTAAAACTTCCTGCTAAAACAGCTAATTAGATACTATTAAAATCACTGTATCAATACTCAATTAATATGAAACAAACTGAAGTATAACAAAAAAAAAAATGTAAAAAAAAAAATTATATAAAAAAAGTTATACGCACATAATTTAACACTTTTCATAAGACATGCAATTACAGCAATCAATTTGATAAGCCAGGATGTCAGAATACTCAGTGGCTAGAGTAAACAGGTTTCACTATATTTTTACTAAAGTACATATGCAAATTGGTCAGATTAGACAGGTCGACTGAATATAAAAGTTTTAAATAGAAGTTTTTAAAGAAATAGGATTTCGTCATTATATATTTTTGTATTTGACTAGACAGGATGTTGAAATACTTTGTGGTCAGATTAGAGAGGTTTCAGTGTATACAGTTACATTGTATGTAGTTAGCAAAGTCCACAAAACATTAACATACAGGCATACACACACACACAGATATATTAGCCAGGTGGCATAGGACTAGTAGTTAAAGACGCAATGCATTAGAATTACTGACAGATGAGATATGCTTTTCTCTTGCCCTAGACAGGTGTATCCGCACTTTTACCGATGTGAGATTTCCTTGGCACCCCTATTCATCACAATGGTATGACGTCACTTCAACAATACAATGACGTCACATCAACAATCTATCAAAGTCCCTGTCATCAACACTGAATTAAGCACATATTCTTATCATTACATTGTGTATATGATACACAATGGGAGAACAGGGTAAGAGAAAAAGAATAATTAATCCCCTAGTGGGAGAGATACGGGAATCTCAACCCTCAGGTTGAGATTCCCCTATCTCACCCACAAGGGGTTGAATGATTCTATTATTCTTCACACCTATGGAAGACATATGGAACAACAACCCTGCTTCCCAACAAGGGGTGTACAATTTCACTTACCCCTCACCCGGGTATGGTAGAATTCAAATTCATGTTGAGATTAGTGAACATTTCCAATAAAATATAAAGATATATATTTCGGGCTAGTAGAATTAAAAAAAAAAAACTGTCTGCAGGCTGGTAATTTACATATGAAGTTGTACTGCCCTGGAAATATTACTTCATGTATATAAGAAGCAACCTAGTTAAGAGGTATGGTCTACATTTGCAGTAATCACAACAGTTTGATTTCAGGGGAATAATCACTCAATATTGCACTTTTGAGTAATTTACGAAAACATGTAGAAACAGTCTAAATATTGCACTTAAAATAATTAAAAAAAAAAAAAAAAATAACAATAAAAAAACAATGAATTTGGTAAAAATACCTTATTCTTGATAACTTATTGCACTAGGCTGTATTTTGTATATGGTTAAAGCAATTAAGACACCCTGTAGCCATAACATAAACAGGTTGATGTGTACAAATAACTTAAGGCTGTTATGGACAACAGTCGTGGTTCAGGCATTCCGACTAAAATTCACAAACTAATGTTAATAAGTAGTACATGTAATGCTTTTAGAATATTTAAGGAATCCTTGGACACTGGACACAGATTGACATACTGGACAATGGTCACTACACATATTGATACACTGGACACTGGTCAGAACATTGATACACTAGCCACTGGTCAGTAGATTATACTGGATTTTGCTCAGCAGGATAGACTGAAGACTGATACATTGTATTCATACACTGGACATTGGTCAGCGGGCTAAACAGAAGACTGATACACAGGACACTGACCAGAAGATTGATAGGCTTGACATCGGTCAGCAGATTGATACACTTGACATCGGTCAGCAGATTGATACACTGGGTATCGGTCAGCAGATTGACACACTGGGTATCGGTCAGCAGAACGATACAGCGAACACTGATTAATAGACTGCTACACTGGACACTGGTCAGCAGATCGATACACCGAACACTGATTAATAGACTGCTACACTGGACACTGGTCAGCAGATTGATACACTGGACATTGGTCAGCAGATTGATACACTGGACACTGATAAATACTGATACACTGGTCAGCAGATTGATACACTTGACATCGGTCAGCAGATTGATACACTGGACATCAGTCAGCAGATTGATACACTGGGTATCGGTCAGCAGATTGATACACTGGGTATCGGTCAGCAGATCGATACAGCGAACACTGATTAATAGACTGATACACTGGACACTGGTCAGCAGATTGATACACTGGACATTGGTCAGCAGACTAAACAGAAGACTGATACACTGGACACTGGTCAATAGAGAAAGTCTCTAGACAATGAGCTACTACATTGTACCTAAGACAATAAAGCATACTAGTCAAGTGTTGTATTGTCATGGTCAAAGTTTGGCCTTGTCCGGTACACAGGTCAGTAACGAACACCAGTACTAGAGGATGTCAGGGTACAAGAAGATTTTTCTGGAGTGTCGACAAGAAGGGAAGCATCTATGGCCTTTGTAAGACCAGGCAGTTTGGCAATGCCATCCAATAGCTCCTCAGCTCCATTCCTGTAAACACAGATGATGAAAAAAAATTGTATACGTGAACTCCTTAATACATATATCGTATACATGAACTCCTTAATACATATATCCTAATCAACCAAACAGATGACCTAGGTGATAAGCGAATTGGGATTTTTTTTCAAAATTAACGCAAAACCTTCCAAAAGTAAAAAGAAAATAGACACTTTTAGAATGATTAGGTAGAAAGGGGGCGGGGNGTGACATATGTAATATACAATTTCTTCACATCGTTGTACAGGTAAACAATACAATCGCTGAATAAGCCATAGCTTGACCAGGGGACAAGTCAGTTTTGAAACAATGTAACACATTTGATATGTACATTGTTCGTGTATTTCCAAAATGATGAATCTTATTGAAGAAAAAGACACTTTTCAGGTAGCTTAGGAGGTAGTGGTACAACCATTTCGGTGCTTGGTTGTTTTGGTACTGTGATGTTTTGTAGTACTTGTAACATTATGAGGCCTGGAGAGTGACAACTTGATCTGAAAAGGGAGAATTTTTCATGGTAAGGGAGGCAACCTTACCTATTGAAGGAGACAAATTTATCTTTTGATGAATATATATAACTTTATGAAGGGAGCAAGTCTTACTTGGCAAGTTCCTCTGTGACAGTGTTGGGCCGGTGGGATAAAAGATGCAGAGTAGCTCTAATCCCATGCGTTTTTGAAGCATGATGACCCGATTTGAGACATTTAAACACAATTAAAGGCAGGTATTTCATCTGGAAAAAAAAAATTGTAAAAAAAGTTAAGCATTTACATTTTTAGTCGTGGATCCACTAGTAAAACAATGATTTCATTATCAAATCACAATCAGACATTTAATTTCTACACCATGATAAAATGCTATGTGGCACACATGTTTTCAATAATCCAAATTGGATGAGAAAAATCATAGATATATTCTTTTCTTTTAGGAATACATAATACATGTAGAATATCAATATGCAGACTCTATCTTACCAGTCTGTCAGCGTTTTGTTCGAATTTAGCGAAGTTTGCGATTCCTCTAGCCAACTGTATGACAAGTTCCTTGCTCTTAATGTCCAATCTCAACACCTCGCACAAACATTCCATAAGCTCTTGTAAGCCTCCCTAAAACAGGAATGAAACACATTGAAGAGAAGTTACTTGGACTACATTTCTTCCAGCTGTAGAATTACTTGACAAATTGCGATATACTGCTAGCCAGTCACAAAAATAAAGACAATTTACTTCAGTAAATCTGCCATTATTGACATTGAAATGAAAGTTCTCCCATTTTTTAATACAAGAGGCCCAGAGGGCCTGTATCGCTAACCTGGATACCTAAGCAATCATGGCAAACTATTCTCCAAATGAGATCAAGGGAATATGCCAGACCCCAAGGCCAATCCTTGTAGCATAGCTATATTAGATTTGTCATGCCCAGCAATTTTATGTATGTTATGGGGTGGGGATCTCAACTGTTTCCAAGCTTTGACTCAGAAACTAGGTCCCTAGAGTTGTGGCCAGACCCCAGGATCGATTTTAATATCGTGACTGCATTTGTCTCTTTTTGCCAAGCATTTGTATATATAGTTTTGGGGTGGGGATCTCAACCGTTTCAAAGTTATGACCCAGGGGCCAAGTCTGCAAGGGTGGGGCAGACCCTGGGATCAATTCTAATGTCATGACTGCATTCGTCTCTTTATGCCCAACAATTGTATATATAGTTTTGGGGTGGGGATATTAACCATTTCAAAGTTATGACCCAGGGGTTAAGTCTCCAAGGGTGGGGCAGTCCCCAAGGCCAACCTGGAAGCATATGTGCAATCATCTCTTTATACTCAGCA